CACATCTTCAAGCTGCCAAGGTTGAGAAACATTGCTTTACTGTATATGTTTCGGTTCTTGTATCCCTACACACTGCAGTTATCTTTTTCCTAGTTTTCCCACCAGGGAACTGTCCAATCATTTTCCTTGCCTTTTTCTGTACTTTTCCCCAGTTTGGTTCCAATTTGGCTTCTGAGATAAGGACCTTTGGAGCATCCAACATTTACATCACCGCAGAGATTTGCATTTGGGTTCCTTTCCGCGGAAGCCATCAAGCAACATCTTATCCCCAAGAATATCCTGGGGACTCTAGGGACTTTCCTTCCTCCTGTTAACCTTGAGGGAGTAACGGCGGGCTCCAATCCTTGAATTGCAGTTGGAATCCCTACCCGCCTCCCACCACAGCCATTTCCTAGAATAAATGGTCATTCCTAGGTTCCTTTTTCAGAATACAATGAAGGCAGGCATGTTATTTAAATTAGGCACCAAGCCCACATGCGTTTTAGCCAGGGATTTGGCACAGAGTTCGGGGAGGAAAAAGATCATTTATAAAACTCTTAAAAAAAAAAACAACTTCAATTTTTAAGTGTTTAATAATGCAAGTTGCATTTATAGTAGCATAATGCTTGAAATTGCCCACCAGGCGTTCCTTCTATGGTAGGTTATCTGCTCTACAGGACGGCAGCATGCTTTGCTGGTTACTGGTTTAAACTGGTTTAAATTGGTGGAAATGGTTTAAACTGGTTTACATTGGAGGAACTGATTTAAACTGGTTTAAATTGGTGGAAATGGTTTAAACTGGTTTACATTGGAGGAACTGGTTTAAACTGGTTTAAATTGGTGGAACTGGTTTAAATTGGTGGAACTGGTTTAAACTGGTTTACATTGGAGGAACTGGTTTAAACTGGTTTACATTGGAGGAGCTGGTTTACACTGGTTTAAATTGGCAGAATTGGTTTAAACTAGGCTGGGTTCACATATACTGTTCATCACAAGAATCCATGAACTGAATTGAATTATTCCTCCAGTGTGAACCAGTTTAAACCAATTCCATCAATTTAAACCAGTTTAAACCAGTTCCTCCAATTTAAACCAGTAAATTGTTTCACTCTGCATGTTGCCATCCAACAAAACAAAGGAAAATTAAAACATGGCCCTAAGCAAAATTTAAAAGAAGCTAAACTGCACGTGTTGGGCTATCACTGGTCTTTAACCTTGGTTAAATGTATCATGCAAGCTCAGTTCTTCCAAGTCAGTGTTTCTCAACCTTAGCGACTTTAAGATGTGTGGACTTCAACTTGCAGAATTCCCCAGCCAGCATGGCAGAAAAATAGCAAAGCACTTTGCAAAATTTAGAAAAAATGTGAATTTTAATCAATAATGTTTTGGTCTATGTTTGGTTTGAAAAGTGCTTGGCCAGAAATAAGGCAATAGAAATAACTACTTTAGGATTCTATTTGTTTGGTTACGTCTGTTGGTTTTAATAATCTATGGACCACCCAAAGTCCCTGCTGTCAGCTGGATGACTACATAAATTGTTTAAATAAATAAAATTTACATAAATAAGAAAGGGAAGAGAACGGGTAAGGTGGAAGGTCGACATCCAGAACATCATTGCAATATCTTTGGAAAAGCCATGGATTATCACCACAGATAGGTTGAGAAGGTGGGCATTTGCTTATACAGAGGACTGGGCCCAACTAACTATGGTTTCAAAATGTGATGTCAGATTCATTTTCTTTTCAGTGCAGACTGAAAGATTTTCAGTCTCTGCTCCTGCTTCTCTTATAAGGGCTTTGAGGACTTATAAGGGCTTTGAGGTCAGACTAAGCCAGTGATTTTCAAATTTGGCCACTTTAAGATGGGTGGACTTCAACTCCCAGAATTCCCCA